TCAACGTATAACATAAGAAGCTGTAATTAGTGGGATTATATTAAGTTTAAAACACATCTACTTTCTCAATAAATCTGAGGTGTTAAACTGAATAGTATGTAGCTTCATAGTGTATTCAATTTTGCAATTAATATTAATTTAAAGAAAATAATGGTCAGTCCTTATTATATTCTCACATAAAAGTAATAGAATATGATGCCATTAACATCATATAGAAATGCAACAGCCTTTGTACAAAAAAATTACCACAATGTAAATAATGACAGAGATATAATCAAATATCCTATGCTGCATCAGTATTTCACCTGAAATCTTTGTCATAGAAACATCTAATGATCTTCCCTGGAATCCAATCATATTCACTGGGATTAACTGTGTTGGAACTATTCCCACAAAAAACTCGATATATCTCAGCCAATCTCCCCATAGTATACTTTTTAACAAGTAGCTGAAAATGTAACGGCAACCAACGATTGTAGATGCAGTAAGTTAAAATAATCAGAACTTAGAGAGAATGTTAGGAATAAGATTAGATTTTAGAGGTATACATACAGATTTATCACAAAGCTGCTCAGCAACAAGTTTCAAAGTTTCATATGGGACTGCGTTTAGGGTATTACATGCCACATCACAGATAACCTCCACAACTTGCTTTCGAAATTTCTCATCAGAATCCAGCAGCCGATCACAAAGAGCAGCTAAAATATTGTACCCAAATAAATTCAGAAGATATAGAAAAAATAAAAGAATATGGGACTGAATATCTTGTAAATGCATTCAATGGACTCACAAATTATTTGAGGAGCTTCATCCATTGAAGGATTTGACAGAAGACAACTCTTAACATGCTCAAGGACAGACATGCAAACCCCAAAATCTTTATCAGACAATCTCTTTAAAAACTCTGAAAATGTAGGCTGAAGTGCTTCAGTAATGGAGGATCCAGGAAGAGCAATTATATCACCAACCAAGTTCACTGCTTTCAAACGAGTTTCCAGCTGGTCAGTCTGCAAATGTCCAATTACAAATGAGAACCTGACATCAAATGTGAATGACAGTCGAGTGTATAACACCCTATGGCACAAAAACTAAATTTGATGGGGAATAAAAAGATGCAAAAGTGACTCTTTGCAATGGTGATATCTTTTTCCTAGTTCTGTTCATTTTCATTCAAACAATAAAATCACCATTTTCCATTCTCTATTTCTTATCCTAGGTTCTTAACAGAAACTCAAATTTTAAAGCACATCTATTTAAAAAGCATAACATGATACCATAAATTTACACAATGAAACTTCTTTATATTAACATCAAGGTCAGTTTAATGGAGATGATTTAGAAACCATATAGAAAATCAGAAAAACCAATAAATCAGTATTTACCATTAATTCTTCTGTGACATAAGGAAAAACTTCAGATAGGATCTGAGGAGCACAGCAATAGAGATCATAGATAATTTCATGGTATTGAACTTGACTGTTCATTGCCTTGTTGTCTCCTGATATTAATGACAGCAAAAAGTGTTTAATGCTCTGCTCAAGTTTTTCCACGGATTGCTGTATGATATTCATGCAAAGCTTCCTTGCGGCCCCAGTAACATCCTGCAATAGAGAAATCCAAACAATCATGTTTACTGTATAATGTTAAAGATAATGCATAAGACAAGATTCACCCTCCAAGTGCATTCGCAAGTTACCTATAACAGGAAACAAATTATATAAGAAAAAGTACTCACTCTTTTGTCACGACCTAATGTAGACAGTAGAATAGACAAAAGATCTGGATGGACATCCTCACTTTCTTCTAAAAGAACGGCCATTATAGTTTGCATGGATGACAGAACACTTTCTGGATGATCATCTCTGTTCATGAAATAAAGTACACAAGTATCACTCATTGATCTAAAGTACTATACAAATTCGACATTTGAAAATTACTACCCAAGATTAATGCTTCAAAGATAACATCACACAGAAGTATCACTCAATACATATGCTTGATAAATCAAAATTAGACAATACAAAGAGCTGGTAGTATAATGGGGAATAGATAAAAAAAAAAAAAGTCAACAAATCAAGAAGCAATAAATCTAAGTATACAAAAACTAGTGTTATACATAGCAAAGTTGTAGGTACAAAATTATGCCAAGCATCAGACATAAAATATCCCAATTTAATGCATAACAAAGAGCAATAGAATGAGGTTAGTTTCACGACTTCAGAATTACAATATTTTCTTCTCCATTCCAAAACATCGCATTCAAAGTATACAACTATTTAAGTTTCTGTTTGCCTAATTATCTTAAATTCATTTCTCTTTTCCTTTATCAGAAAAAAGAACAGATTCTAGAACCAAGTGCACCAACAAATAACAAGTTTGCAATCTGGAGCAAAATAATAGAACCTTTCAGGGAAACATAACTCTTTATCATGAGCTCACACCTACAACTAACTAAGCAAATGGCTTTGTGATAAACTAACCTGGCAACTGCAAAGAAAGTACTGAACATTTCATTCACCAGATCATCACATTCAAGATCCAACATTACAACACAGGATCTATATTTTGCAAGAGTCTCCAGTATAGCAACTCTCCGGTCAAAGGATGGGCCACTTGTATCACTCAGACCACTAAAAGTGCCCACAATCAACTGAAATATGTCCTGCAAAGTGATCTAATAATGATTAGGACGAAGGAGACTGTGCTCCCAGCAATATTTCTCTTCTTGTTTGACAGAAAGTAAAAGGATACTTGAAATTATTTTATCAGATAACCAGAGTAAATGAAAGGTACCTTTAGAACATCATCACTGTAAGGAGCTTCAGGGGCAGTGATTCGAGTTATCTCACAAACACATATTGCAACTAGAAGCTTGACATCACTGTCATGGTGCTTCAGCAGTTCTGGCCTAACAATTGCACTAAAAAAGGGCTTCATTGACTCTAATGTCGAAGCTGATGGTGATTGATCCAAGTCAGTAAGGCATGCTGCGGCTTGCTGCAGATAGGACAACATTGTGTTGAGGGGGGAAGTGTAGAGGGAGGTTATCAGTTGCCAATTAAAAATTATTGCAATTAAAAAAGAAAATTTTAATGCAGCAAGACAGTAACATAAGTTAAAAAAATATATATTGGAAATGTTATAGCACACAGTTGACCATTTTAACCTGCATGATATGCTTATGAGCTAGTTTTCTGTAATTTGGTAATAGCAGATTAATTTATTGTAGGAAAATTGAATATCCATCACATAGACATGGTATGCTATCTACTACTGAGAAGTCCATTCTTTTCAAAACATTATAGTAATGCTGAGCAGAAAGAAAGAAATTCTATAAAAACTTTAAAAATAATAGTATTATTTGTTATGATTAGAGTGTTCGTCCAGAATTGATTAGCTAAGTAACAATGAACTGTCATAAGACTGTGTCATATGTCATATGAGCAACCTAAACAGTCGTACTTAAATCTTAAGAGAAGCCTTAATACGTTTCTTAACATCCTCTCTTCACGTTGTTGATTGCTTTATCTACAAGGACCTAGGATTTTGAGACTAAACCACTATTACTAGTTACTAACCATATAGTTACCAACTTACAGGAACAGCAAACATATTGAACCACTTCAAACCTTTTAAAAGGATCCTCAGTTTTTTCCAAAAAGAAAAGGCCTTCCTAAGCGAATGACTGAATTTACTACCATATATGTATTATGTTGTGCTATGAAACCAGTCAATATGCTTGGTACAGTATACATCAACTAGTTAGATGTTAAGACTGAAACTATTCAGCTGACCAATTATTCAGCAAGTTTGATGCTTCATCTTACCAATCCAAAGCTTTGAGGTGGCGACGTATCCTTCTTAATTTATCTCATAATTCAGCTTTAGTAAACAACACTTTCAACCTCTAATACATTTGAAAATGGAAATTGAACCCTAATTCCTCCATACATGCCAAATTCCATGTTGATTTGATTAAATCTGGCTTCAGTAAAGTAAGTAATTCACTCGTTCAAAAAGTAGACAATGGGATAAAATCTAGCTGCTAATATCTCCCTTTTCACTTCTAATCCCACAATCCTTGTGCAAATTTGCATACTCAGTAGCTTCATCCTTTTTTCCAGTTAGCTTTTTGTCCATCCAAAACATCCACAGTTTTATTAAACTTAAAAAGAGAAAAAGACAAGACCAACTTAACAAACACGGCAAACAAACCTAGACCCCCTTCAAAAACCATTCACAAGATAACCTAACTCAAAAGCCACTCTATTAACACGCTTCAAACTAACAAAAGCCTCTCATGAAACACACTCAATCTCCCATCTGTTCCTCTCAATTACAAAAACCCAACTACCAAAACACAAATCCTCACCCAATTACAAACCACCAACATGAAGAACCACAAAACCGGAAACCAATCCACGTATTTGGACTCAATTCATTCATTCCAACAAACAAATCTACTTAACCAAGCAAAAAGCGTCACAGTTTTCCTCACCTTAACTCCCCAAGCAGAAAATAACGAACATAACTAACCCCCAAAAACAAAAAAGTTCGAAATTTTCGCTAAAAGAAACTAAATTCCCGAAGTGGGTCTAGACCAATTGCGAAACGAATTAGCGAGAACTTCGAAAACACACACCTGCAAGAGCTCGATGAGAGCGTCATCGGAGGAGGGAAGAGATTCGAGCTTGGATCCCAGCTCCTCGAGCAGAAGGTGAGGCTGCTGAGCCATGTTGCGCAAAAACGATGTCGTTTCAGTGACGCGCGTGCAGTTTCATAGAGTTTGGACAAGCTAAGAGTAGAGGAAGAAGAATAAGAAAGTGAAGAAGTGTGAAAATAAGAGAAGCGAAGGGTTTTCTTCGTTTCTCTCTCTCTATCTTGTTATTGTGTTGTGTCGTGAAGTTCGATTTTCGAACAGCGAAGCCAAATCCAAATCTACGCCAAACTTCACGCGCTGACTTTTTTACTTCTTTGCTTTGCAGTTGTGCCCTCCAATTTTACGCGTATTTCCGAAACCTCCCATTTCCGCCCCTCGCGTCTTGCAATTGCGCCCCTCTCATAATTGGTCTTGATTGAGAAAGTACGAAATGGAAGTGATTGAGAAGTTGTGTTTTTAGTTGCCGTCAGTTAGTACCCTACTCCATTTTCGGAACATGCATTTATCAGACCATGTTAAACCCCGGACAATCTTAATTATTGCAAAAACAATTTATTAAATATGACGATATTTTTATTTTTAAAATTAAAAAAAAAAACACTAAACATTTCCCTTTTTATGTATGAAAAATCATAGGAAATAGCATGGCTGTTAAATTCCAATGATGTCAAATTTCAGCTTATATGGGATTGTGTTATTAGCTTAATTGGTGATTTAAAATTTACATCTTTTTTACTGTTTGGTGTTGATGAGTTGATTAGAATATAAAGTTAAGATATTTCTTCTAATATTTCATATTCTCATTGATTCTAATCCAACAATAATTTACATTTCAAACCCAAATCTCTGAAACTTTTCTCCAACTTTTTTATAAAATACCCCACGTCTACATGTCTCAACATAAGTATCAACTATATTTTCTAAAACTTTTCTTAAAAGAAATTCTAAAACAACACGTGGATATCATCTTAATATTTAAAAGTGATTATTTCAACAAACTCTACGCCATCCGATAATAATATACCTTTATTTTTATTTCTTTAATTATACTTATTATAGAAAATATAACAAATTATTAACAGTTATTTGGATGACAAAATATTATAATAATAAAATAAAAATAATAATAAATTTATTAAAATATAAAAATTAATAATTATATATATCAGTATAATGTATATTTTAAAACAGAGATTATAATAATAATCATGTTACAAATTTATATTATTATTATATTATTAAAAAGATTGTGAGACAGTTATATATTAAAAAGAGATTATTATATATTATAAATCTTAGCAAATTAATTTCCTTTAATTTGTACCTATTAAATCAGTTGACATTGTCTTATATTTTTTTACAAGGTCAATGATATCTTATAAGATTCAGAGAGGTAGTCGTCCTCTTTGTGTTCGTAAAATTCTTGTCAGGTGTGATTTGTGTGTTAAAAAAATACTCTAATACTCAAGTCAATAATAAGTAAACGAGGATGTGGTTTGTGTGTTACAGAAAATACTCTAATACTCACGTCAATAAGTAAATGATGGATGTGGGAAGGAGATTAGGGATTCAATTTATATTTTGAAATCCTTGTCTATTTATACTATTGTATATGGGCTATTTTCGTGGGCCTTAACCTCTGGGTTTCTTGTGTGTCCGCCTCTACAATACTACATGTAATGTGTTTCGCCTCTACACAATGTCCTTGGTGCAGGTTATACATGCAGGGACGCTGTCGTGCTTTCACAATACGTGCGAGAGTTATATATCTACAGTACCTGTAATAATACACCTACTACATACCTATGATATATATATATATATATATATATATATATATATATATATATATATATATATATATATATATATATTACCACATGTTACTAATATTTTATGTAAAAAAATCAGTAATAGCATGCATTTAGTTGCTTAGTTACGACGAACAAGAAAGATTCGACCCTTACGAATGTTTATACAAAAGTGTAAGATTATTCTTCCATTATCAACATTCAGTACAATAATAAAGATGTTTAATGATGGCTAAAAATAACTTACAACATTAGCTTTAGATATGATGGAGCTATCATTAGATACAATCACGTAAACTTTCATGATCATCCCCTTAACATAACACTCATTATGTTATATATATATATATATATATATATATATATATATATATATATATATATATATATATATATATATATATATATATATAAAACATTAATAACGTACAAGCTTAGTTAAAACATAAAAATATAATTATGATATAATTATCTATAAAAAAATTATTACCAATTTGTTATTTATTTAAGAAATATAAGTGATTTTTTATGCAACAAACAAAATCATGCAGTGTTGATTATAGATATGATAAGCAATTTATTAATTATGAATGTATATTAAAACATATTAAAATTAGTTAAATTTTGAATTGAGTAAAGATAAATTACAAACGGAATATACTTACCAATAAAAAAGTGTTTTGTGATGTATGTTTGTATTTATATTTTCTTATTATCCGATAATTGAATGAGTTGAGGATCTAAAATTCATAGACATCATATTTCTCCTCATTCATGTATAATTGAGATATATATTTATAATGAGTGACATAATAATGAATGAATTATTTCAATAACTAAAAAGTAAGAATCTTAGTTTAAATAACTTACATCATCCACAACTCGCATAACACATATTTTAAACTCTAGATTGTATGATACAATCTCTAACATATCGACATGTGTAATTAAAATGGGACATCACTTTCCCTACCTAAAATAGTAGAGTCTCATGACAACATCCAACAATATAGAAAAAGGGTTACTAGTAGTATATTGTTTCTTCTTTTTCCCTATCTTTCTGATGTCATTAATTCACATAACTAATATTAATATTAAAAACAATATTATAAAAAATAATCAAACGTAGGATTGTTATTATCATACCATGGTGTCTAATATGGGTCTAACTAGATGTATAGATCAAACAATGAAAGTTTGAATTGTTTGTATCATAGTAGCAATCTCATTTGTTAGTACATGTACAATAACACTACCATCACAAACCTTATCTACCATGACCTTAACCAAATCAACAAGGAGAGGTATATTATGTAACATAGTGCCCCCTTCAAACATCTTCCCCAATGTCACCAATCGATGGGAATCAATGTCTTCAACATAAAGCTCACACTCGATAGGACAGTCTCTGTCCTCCCCTAATGGTACACCAAGTTTTGTAGTAGTTATATGTTGAGAGAGTCCTAAGTTCATCAACCACTAGTCAAACTACTACCACAAGTTTTGTGTCATAGTCTCTGTGACCTCTTATTTGAGGTCCTCCCTTAGCTCATCTCTAATCTCCTCCTTTAATTGTACTCTGAGATTATGTATATACTCCTTACTAGGGTAACTAGAGGAGAAATGTGATGTTGCTCCAAAGAAATATTTAATCCTTACGCCTACTCCAATAGCTTGAACACAAATAAGGTGCTTAGGTCGACCAAGAACAATTATTAGGATATCTTGACAATAATGAGGATAAAAGTACCTAGGTACATTTATCAACCAAAAAATTCTACAACACAATCAAATTGTAAGATATATTATATTTTGTACATAATAAATATTATTAGAAATAAAAAATAATAATTACTTACAATTTGTTCATCCATAAGACGTGACTCTTTAGAGCCCAATTTTTAAAGTCGAGTTTATTTCCACTTTTCATGATGTGAAGGTGGAGATCAGTGACGGATCTTAACCATTGATCTTGGGGGCCAAATAATATATTATTAATAAATAATAAATAAATATAAAATAATATATTATTAATAAATAATAAATAAATATAAAATAATATATTATTAATAAATAATAAATAAATATAAAAGGAAGAAAGAAGATGAAAGGGTAAAATGATAAAATTGTAGATATATATTTAAATATATTAAATGATCATTAAGTTTGAGGGGGACAAAGTCATAAATCACATGGGAGTTACAAAATTGAGGAGGGACTGAGAGGATAGAATTGTAAATATACAAGTAAATATATTAAATGTTTATTAAGTTTGGGGGGCCAAAATCATAAATTACATGGGAGTTATAAAACTTTGAGGGGCCACGACCCCCTCAGCTCCCAAGAAGATCCGCCATCGGTGGAGATGGTGGGTCAAGACTAGAAACATATGATAAAGATGCAAATTGTGCTTTCTCCATAATCATGACTTTATTCAAGCTTCTGGTAACCCTCATGAGACAATAAGTGAGAGGTCACATTATGTACTTGAATAGTTTGTGCTTTCTTCCTAACACCCTGTGACAAACTACAAATAATATTATTAATTAGTTAATTATAATTGTAGGAAGAACATTAAAAACAAAAAATGTATAATTACCTGTCATTTCTCATTCTGCCTCATATGAACAAATTGTATCCAAGTTTCTTCATCAAGTATCATGTATTTGGTATAATGATTTTTATTACTTCTTGTACCAAATACATAGTTTATCGTTGGTTTAGACTTAAACTAATGTCATTTTGTTGTAATCAAAGAAAGAACTTTTGATCTCAATGTCCCAATATTAGAGATATCATAATGTGTCTCGTCAAATAAAAACAAAGATGATTAAGACTATATCATTAGATAAATTATAAAAGAAACAATTAATATATATTAAACTTTTTACCAAGATATCTTGTTGAATAATGTTTCTTTCAGCCTCAATAACATAATCCCAAGATAAAATTAAAATAGAAATCTTCTCATAAGGCAATACATCGAGGTAGTAACTAAAAGACTCAACATTTGTCACAAAGACCACACTTGTATGAACGTCAATAGTGAGAGGTGTCCTCCGACCAAGTATCACGTCTAAGTGAAAGGGACTTCAACCTAGTAGGCTTTTTAGATGTTTGCTCCAAATCAATGATCAACCATTTTCTTATTAAAAAATGAAATTGTTAGATATAATTTAATAATATTTACAAGTTTTAAAATAAAAAATATACAAAATTAATAATTATTCATATATATATATATATATATATATATGTATATTCCTTCATCGTGATCTTTTTTAGTGGCATGTACATCATTAACCACGTTATCCTGATCATTTTTAGTAATAATAGTTTATGTTAATGAATGTGACAAATATCAAGATTAAATTGTTCATTCTCTTAAGTAAAATCTTGTTGTTTTTCATGAAAAATAACTTACCAATTAAAGTAAGATCTTTGACATAAAACAGTTGTGAAGCTTTATATGTCATGATAAATGGTTCAGTGTGATATTCTATCTTTCAAAAATCAATTAATGACATTTCTTATTCATCAATCTTTACACCACTCTTATTGTCAACCCACTTACACTTGAAAATAGACACTGGAAACTTAATGTAACTAATCTACCAAATCTCCTCAATTACACCATAATACGATATTGATCTAATAACAAAATTTTGATCCTTAAAAGTATAGAATCGCATGGACTTTGTCTCAAGAGTTACACCACTATTTTGAACAGTACTTTTGTCATCCAGAGACTTTGTATATGAAAGTAATGAAGATCTTTTTGAACCTAACGATAGAACGAAGATCTTATGGATTTGATGAAGTCAAAGGCTACTTGTGTTAAAGGGTAGAGTGATTAATGAGTCATCATCAATATTAATAGGTCTTCATTCATATCTCTCTGCTGCATGAAGTTTCATCATTTGAAAGAATTCGAAAATGCCTCTAAAGATATTTTAATCTGTTAAAAACCAAAGTAATTGGCTAAATTATTTTTAAGAAATTGTTTTAACTGATATTATATGAACTTTATCAATTAAAATGTTCTTAAGACTTACATGACAGATTTTTAACTGATAGGTTTTCGAAATAATCGATTAAAACCATTTAAAACATTCACTAAAACTATTTTAATTGATACACTTTCGAAATAATCGGTTATTTTCATTAAAGGAGTATTTAGAAACCTTCTGCTAGCATGTTAACTAATATAGATTCGAAATAATTGATTAAAATCACTTAATATGCTTTGAAATGTGTTCTGACAGTATTTTAATCGATATAACTTTGAAATAATTGATTAAAACTACTTGAAATGCTTTTTAATCGATGTAATATCATATATGATCGATCAGAATAAGTTTTAATCGATGTAATCTAAAAAATGATTGATCAGAATTATTTTAATTGATGTAAAATCGAATTAATCGATTAAAACAACTTAATGAACTTTTTGCTAACTTGTTTTAATCGATTAAAACTTGTTGATATCAGTTAAAATCACTTAGAAAGTTTTGTAAAAGTTTTTGGCAGAATATTAATCGATTAAACTACAAAATAATCAATTAAAACAACTTAAGGGACTTTTTGTTAATTATTTTAATCGATTAAAACGTTGTCGCATCAGTTAAAATAAATCGAAAAATAATTAAGAACATTTTAACAGATAAAAAGATTGTTTTAACAGATTAATTAAACCAAGCAGTTGAAATAAATCTCTATATAAACAGATTTGATTCAACATTTTATAATATACTTTTGAGTAATTAATCAAACAATTATAAAAGTTATTTTCAAGAAAGAATCATGCAAGTTTTGTGGAGTTTTTCAAAGTTCTTTCTTGAGGCAATTTTTCATTCTTACTTGTGAAGAAACTCATTCTGCAAGAGCTACATAATCCGGGTTGGTTCAAGAACTGGAATTTGGTTCTTGGTGAAGGTTTAGGTGCAAGATCTGGAATTTAGGTCTTGTGGTAGATTGGGTGTGTGATTAGAATCTGTAATCTGTAAAACATTCAATCTAGTGAAACTCAGCTGGAATTTGGTTGAGAACTGGACGTAGCCCTGGGATTGGGTGAATCAGTATAAATCTTGATTGTATTTCTCTAAACCTTACTCTCCTTAATTCTGTTGTTGTCTTACTTTGAATAGCTTGATTTTCTTGGTTCAAGAATTGGTCAAAACTCTTAATCTTTAAAATACATAATATGTAAGTTGCAAAAATCTTTTAAAGATCAATTCACTCCCTCTCTTGATCTCAGCCTCTTTTTCTATGGTATCAAGAGAAAGGTCTTGAAAAATACTCAAGACTTTCGGTCCAAATCTTTCATGGTTGAAAATAAATTACCTTTTTCTGAGGGTGCTTCTATTAATAGACCTCCACTATTTTGTGGTACAGATTATCTATTTTGGAAGATAAGGATGAAGATCTTTATTGAATTGATTGATAGAAATGTTTGGGATATAATTGTTAATGGTCCATTAAATACAGAAAAAGATTGGTCTAGCTTAAATGATGAAGAGAAGAGAAAAGTTCAAAGTGATTGTACTGCTAAAAACATAATTACTTCTATACTAAATATGGATGAATTTTTCAGGGTTTCTCAATGCAAATCTGTCAAGGAAATGTGAGAAGTTCTTGAGGTTACTCATGAGGGAACGACTGATGTGAAGAGAGCTAGAAAGCATACTCTCATAAGAGAATATGAGTTGTTTAAGATGCAAACTAGAGAAAGCATTGCAGATGTGCATATACGATTCACTCACATCATCAATTATCTAATGGGCTTAGGTAAGACTTTTGATAAAGAGGAATTAAATATAAAAGTTTTGAAATGTCTTGACAGGTCATGACAACCTAAGGTCACAGCAATACCAGAGTCAAAAGACTTGTCCATCATGACAACAACCTCTTTATTTGGCAAACTCAGAGAGCATGAGATGAAAATTAATAGATTCAATGAGCAAGAAATCTCTGAAAAGAAAGGTATGAAAACTGAAGAGAAAGATCAAGAATCATAAGAAGAAAGTGGGAATCTTGGACTGCTGGTAAAAAAGTTCAACAAGTTTCTCAAGAGAAAGATCCAAGATAAAGAAAGACACAAAAGGTATGAAAAGAAATTTGATTCTTTTAACTATCAGTGCTATGGTTGTGCTAAGCAGGGGCATGTAAGGATGGAGTGTCCAGAAAAGAACAAATACAATGACAAGAAAGAAGAAAAGATCAAAAGAAGAGCATACATAGCATGAGATGACAATGATACCTCATCAACAGAAAATTTTGATGATGAAGAAGCTAACTTGTGTCTAATGGCTAACCAGAATTATCAAACCAGCAGTGTAAGTTCTAACTCCTCTTCTAATTTCATGAATTATAACTCATTACAAGAAACATTTAATGAAATGTATGAAGAAACCAAGAAACTTAAAAAGGAAAATGGTAAGCTACAAGACATGAACAATTGGTTAGAAAATAGAGTTAATTCTCTTGAAAAGAAAATTCTTGAAGATGAAACTGATCTTGGTTACTTGAAATTAATTCATGATAATTCTGACTGTATGTGTAACATGATCAAACCTTGTGAAGAATGTCCAGTTTTACAAAAGAAAATTGAATATATTTTACAAATTGTTTCAAAGTTTACACAAGGCAAAGCCAATCTTAATGTTCTTCTTGGTTCATAAAAACTTGTTCTTGATAAAACTGGTATTAAATGTTTTTATTGCATGAAAAGAGGTCACTCAGTTAAATTCTGCAGAATTAAGAAATATAATGTACCAAAAGGAAGAATGAAGTAGGTTCCCAAGAATTCATTTCAAATAACTTGATTGGACCCGATAATTATAAAAAGGGTACCAGATTATGCTAAATCTGTCTTGCAGGAAAAAAAAATCTGGAGATCCTTTGATACCTGATCAACAGTTATATGTTCTGGTTTCATGAACTGATCATTTTAATTGATAGAAAACTATTTTAATCGATTAAATTCACTTACAGCGAAATTTTGTAAAAGTTGTTCGTACAGTTTTAATCGATTATTTGTAAACCTGAGAGGTTTTAATCGATTATTCATCGAATTAATCGATTAAAACCTCTCAAGTTTACAACTAATATTCCAGATCTTTGGTTTAATTGATTAAAAAGGATTTACATCAGTTAAAATCATTAAAGAGTTAAATTTAATCGATTCTCTTTAGATTTAATCGATTAAAATTATGTGATCATTTCATTAAACATATACAGTACAAATTTAATCGATTATTTTCTATTTTAATCGATTATTACACTGTTGCGATTTCAAACCTAATATTCTAGATCAAATTAATTGATTAAATTATTGGTTAATCGATTCATTCGTTCTTAAAAACTATTTTTAAATATGGTTAATTGAAGAATTTCCAGTAAATCAAGATCTGATTTTCAAGATTAATTGATAATCAAAATCTGTGAAAAACATTTACTATATTGTTTGACCAAGTCAATGTCTATCCAAATATCAAATTAGTCGATGTACCCATTGCCCAAAGCATATGATTCTGCACTCTGTTAAGGGAACACGACCAATTAAAACTAAAACGTTGCAGGTCTGTCATTCGGATTTCAAAAAATTTGGAATCCGAACTTCTATTCATCAATGAAAAATCAGGTTCTGCATACTTGAACATTTTCAATTTCTCCTCTTCTCTCTTCTCTCTCGCTCTCATATTCTGTATCAATCAAATTCCTTCTTAAATTTCTCCTACAAGATGTTTAAAAGATCAAAATCAAGGAAGAAACATAAGGGGATCTTCCTACGCTGCCAACCCTGGTGGTCACTTAGAAGCATGGTTCAACGGGGACATCAAAAAAATGAATTATTTCTTTTTTGACTTTAGTCAGAAACAAATTGTCATTCCAAAGTATATTAAGTTCAAATGGCTTGATGATGAAGGATTTACTGCTTTAAGAAGGCAATTGAAAAGACAGAAGCTAAAAACCTTCATGGAGCATACTGGAAATATTCAACCTGATTTGGTTCGTGTTTTCTATTCCAATCTGACTGTGAATGGATCTACCATCAAATATCAGGTAAAGGGAGTTAATATGGAAATCACTCCTTATGTTTGGGAGCAAGTTGTTGATCTCAAAGACTCTGGTGTTAAAGTATCTAAAGGAAATGTCTCTGACTTACCCGATTTCAACAAAATACAATACTTCAGATCCTGTCTCAAAGACCCAAATGATTTGGTAAGGGTTTTAAATGCTGGAAAGTTGATGCTTGAACCAAGGCTACTAGCCTTCATTGTTGCATGGATACTCACTCCTAGGGGGAGCAATCATGCATTACTAAATGAAGGTGACCTCGCTCTCATGTATTGCATTTCAAATAGTATTTAGGTCAACTGGGTATATGTGATCAAGGATCACATGTTGAAAGCAAAGAGGTTATCCGATTATAAACTGCCTTATGCCATGTTAATTAACAATTTCTTTAGATATTTGGAAGTGGACCTTGCAGGAGAAATGTGGAGACCCCTAAAGCATCAAACAAGATTGATGATTCCACTCTACGGAAAATGGGGTTCATCAAAATTGATGATGAATGGATCTCCAAGGCTGAGGCTGGAATGTCTAAGGATGAAGATGAAGAAGAAGCTGATCAAGATCAAATTCCTTCTTCTCTGGCTGCTGAGGTTCCTGAGTCCACTGGTGGTCAAACCTCTTATGAGAACATGGAAATCATACCCTACACAGAGCAACTTGACCGTGAAACTCCTCTTTATCAGTTTGAAAAGGTTATGCTATCTCAAATGGCCTCATTGCAAGATAATCAAAGGAAACACATGCAAATGACATACCAACATTTTCAACAATTTAATACTCAATTCACCAACCTAGGAAACCAGATTGCGGATCTTTACACTAAGATAGAGGACATGCAGCTAAATCAGGGAAATTGGGATGATTAATCTCATCAAGAAGGGTCCTTTCTATCATTTTTTTTCGCTGCTTTTATCTGTTACTTTTTTATCTTGTTGTTCTGTAATATTAACTGGTAGTTGACCAAAAACACTCCTTGAACATCCTTAAATATGATGCAGGTATTTAGACTTAAAATTATAATTGAATTAGAGACTTTAGATAGATCAAACAATACATATTCTGATAGTTTTAGCCGATATAAAATCATTTTAATCGATTAAATTCATTTTTAGGAAAATTTACCAAGGTTATAGGTTCTGTTTTAATCGATTACTTTGCGAATTAATCGATTAATAACTCCAAATAATAGTGATGTATCGATTAAAATTGATTCACATAAACTAAATTCACTAAATTGAAATAATACATTCTGGTTTTGTGTGGATCTTTGCTTAAATCTTAGAGATCAATTAGCTTTATAGAAACTGAGAAACAGTTAGATGATATTTTCACAAAACCTCTTGCTCGTGATCACTTTTATAAAATCCGAACTGAATTAGGTATTCTAGATGCATCCGACATCACTTAGTTCTCATTTCTGATTGTTTTAATTGATATAAACTAGCTTTAATCGATTAATTTCACTTATAATGATGTTGTTCATACTATTTTAATCGATTAAATATTTAATCAATTAAATGCTTCCTGGATTTTAATACAAATCTGTCATTCCTGTATTAATCGATTAAAACTTCATTTGTATCAATTAAATTCATTAAGATGATTAATTTGATCGATTATGTCCTGTTTCTAATCGATTATTATTCTGCAAATTAAATTAAAGACTTTAGTTAATGGTTGTTCTTGTAACATGCTACTAAGTAAGGTTCCCTTACTTTACACGTGTCTATTGCATTCATTGAAAACGTGTTAAGGAAGATAAGTTTGAATCAAATTTAATTGTCCTTGTTAGAATAATATATCTCATCTTTCCAAACTTGCAATTTCTTCTTTAGTTTTGTTGTGTGCTGAGAACTAAATATATTTTCAATATCATGAAATATTATGCATATTGCTTGTTTTATACCTTATCTCCCTATTTTTTATGAAGTCAAAGGGGGAAAATGATTAATATTGAATACTCACTAATATGGTATCCAAGTGATTTCTTTTGCAGATCAAGATCTTTCAAAAGAGATATTTGTCTTCATCAAATAGGGGGAAACTGAAATTAATGAAGATCTTTTTGAACCTAATGATAGAACGAAGATCTTATGAATTTGATGAAGTCAAATGCTACTTGGGTTAAAGAGTAGAGTGATTAATTAGTCATCATCAATATTAATAGGTATTCATTCATATCTCTCTAGTGCATGAAGTTTCATCATTTGAAAGAATTCGAAAATGCCTCTAAAGATATTTTAATCGGTTAAAAATCAAAGTAATTGGTTAAATTATTTTAAAGAAATTGTTTTAACTGATATTATATGAACTTTATCAATTAAAATGTTCTCAAGACTTACATGACAAATTTTTAATTGATATTATAATTTTTTATTATAATAAAATTAAAATTATATTTAAATAAAATTTTATCTTTTTTAATAATGTTATTGATTTTATTTTTTATTATAAATATTTTAATTATATTTTATTTTTTTCAATTTATATTTAAAAATAATTTTTAATTAATAATTTAAAATTTATTTTTATATAATTTTAAAAATTATAAATTAATTACTTTAAAATTAATTATTTTTATAAAATATATTATTTTTATTAAATTTTAATTAAAAATATTTTAATATTTTAATAAATTATTTTATTAACATATTAATATTTTTATATTCAATTATATCATAATTATTTTTTTTAATTTATCTATTTTAATATATTTTAATTATTACATTAAACAAATTATTATTGAATTTTTTTATATTCAATCACGTTAATTAATTATAATAATTTACTTAAATTACTTATTTTCTTCAATCTAAATAACTTATAATTTATTTTAAATAATTTATATCCTCTTTTTCCCAGATGGTATATATTTGGATATATGTGTTACACGTTATCTTATGATCTAAAAGATATTTGATTTTCATTGCCATACATTCAACATATCGATAGTGCAGAAATATATTTACTCCATTTTTATGGGTACGATTCACATTTTTCTTTTTTATTTATGCCAGCAAAACTATTTTTTGGAGTAAATAAGTTAAGTTTTTAGTAGACATTCATAAGAGATTTTTTTTTAATATTGGTAAAATTAATTTTATATATTGTAAGCTATAATTAATTTTTTATTTATTTATTTTTCTATCGATGCCGACAAAGTTGTTTTGGACCGATGTAATTCAGATAATTTTGTAGGTTACATTTTATGTACTTTTTTTTTTCAATCAATATCATCTGTATTAATTTTGTCAATATTTGGTTGATTTTTTTTCCTCATAAACTTTCGACAACCAAAATGATTTCAACCCGAATGAATTAGGGGAACTATCTTAGTTGAAATAGATTTAATAATTGAGAAAAAATAACTTTGGTTTTATTTTTTCAAAAAAATAACTAATAGTATCAATTGGAAAAATAAACCCACAATGTTGATGTGAATTGAAAGAAATTATCTTAATAAAATAAGTTGTGAATTTCGACAAAAATAATCTAGAAAAAAAATTACAAATCAATATTTTTTAAGTATCGCTGGAGTGGAGTGGGAAGAGAGCCGTAGAGAGAAAGCGGAAGGAGTGGGAAGAGAGCCTCGCTGGCGTCTCCGAAGAGGAGAGAGCGAAGCTGTTGGAGTCTCGAAGATGCCTCCGCAAGGAGAGAATGGAGAAGAGGTCGCTGGAGAAAGAGAGTAAGCGAGAGAGATGATAATTAATTTTAATCTAGAAAAAAATAATAATTTAATTTTAAGTAATGATAATTAAAATATTTAATTAAAATGAAAAAAATTAAATTTAATAAATTTGAATAAAGATAAAAATAAAGTATTTGAAAAATAAAATCATTTCAATTGTGAATTTTTATTTATTTTTAACACAAAACATGTGTATTAAGACAGTTTATAATTTTCGAATTAAAAAACTGACCAAATTAAGAAGAGCAGTTCCGCCCGGTGCATCTTCAAGAAATCCCTAATCCCAACAATGCCGGAATCACCCGGCGGCGGAGACGCCGGCGCTCTACCTCAGACGACGGAAAAGCCCCAATCCGATCAAAACGCCGCCGAAAAAACCGACGCGGGTCCTCTGGTGCTCTCGAAGAACGCGCAGAAGAAGCTGGCGAAACAGCAAAGGTTCGAGGCGAAGAAGGCGGAAAAGAAAGCCGCGGCCAAGGAGCAGAAGCGAAAAGACGTAGAGAGAAAGCGGAAGGAGTGGGAAGAGAGCCTCGCTGGCGTATCCGAAGAGGAGAGAGCGAAGCTGTTGGAGTCTCGAAGATGCCTCCGCAAAGAGAGAATGGAGAAGAGGTCGCTGGAGAAAGAGAGTAAGCGAGAGAGACTCACTGTAGCGAGAGAACAAGGCCAAAACGTCGTCGTCGATCTCCAGTTCTCTCACCTTATGAACCCTAACGAAATCCACAGCCTCGTTCAGCAGGTTCGTTCCTCATCTCAATTGCTCTGTTTCACTCTGAGAGGGTTTTAATAAGCAGGTGACTATCCCAATGTGAAGGTTTTTAGACACGCTGCGACTGCAATTGCAATTGCTGTGCATATATCCGCCATTTCTTGCAAAAACAATGATAGCTAGTCGCAACTGCAATCTAGATACTCTTTGAATAAAAACTTCTCTGTAACAGGAAGAAATTGACAAAGAAAAATGGAATAAACTTTCCATAAATCCTTAGTAAGCTTACAAAAGATTGCTTCTATAAAATAGTTTTAGGCGTAAGTTTATTCTTTTCTTTGGAGAATTTTATATAAACAGAGTCTTTAAACTTAGCAATTTTGCCTAAGGCTTATGCATAACCTAAGTTAAAATTTGATTATTTCATATTCTAATTTGGAGAAACTCCCTTGGTAATTTCTCTAGGTAATCTAATTTTTTTTTTTGTGAACAAATCAATTTTATTTTTTTGTTCGTATTTTCTCTTCTAGAAGTTCTTTTAGAGAAGCTCGTAGTAAATAATGGAACTGTTAACAGTGCTGATTGAATCTGCAGATTATGTATTGTTATGCTGTGAATGGAAGGTGCGCTTCCCCTGCGCATCTTTGGCTCACTGGCTGCGACGGAGAAATGGACAGTGCATTGAAGCGGATTCCGGGGTTTGATAAATGGATAATTGAGAAGGAGAATAGGTCTTACATTGAAGCCTTGTGTGACCAAAAGGAGGATTTGGTTTATCTCACTGCGGATTCAGAGACTGTTCTTGAAGAACTTGATTTGAAGAAGATTTATGTTATTGGCGGGTTGGTGGATAGGAACCGGTGGAAGGGTATAACGTTGAAGAAAGCACAAGAGCAAGGAATCCAAACGGCTAAACTCCCCATAGGAAATTTCATGAAGATGTCTAGCTCTCAGGTATTATTCATATCTCATAGCAAATAGTAAATACTAAACGATTTCATTTTGGGAATTATAACTTCTGTTGATTTAGTTTCTGAAAGCTTTTGCTCTGTGAATCTGTACAAATTACTCTTCAGGGGATGAGATTAATATCGAGTTATTTACTTGGTAGATTTCACTTGTTTGCAGGTTTTAGTTTCTGTGTACTAATTTATGTAGTCACTCATTTTGGAATCTAACATTTGAATTTGCCTCTATGTTGCTCACATTTAGACGGGGCATTTCTATAATTAGAATCATTGGACATCTTATGGCATCGCACTTTGTTTTTCATTTACTTTCCTTCTGTTGAATTGATCTTGATGTTTGGGTGGGATCATTTATCCTGCGGGGTCTTTAATATCTGACAAGTCACAACACTTCCTCTACATAGACAATGCAAATTTGCTTTTGTATGATAACTCATCTTATTTCTCGTATGAGCCTTCAGGTTCTTACTGTGAATCAAGTGGTAGAAATATTACTCAAGTTCTTGGAGACAAGGGATTGGAAAACATCTTTCTTTGCCGTTATCCCTCAACGGAAAAGATGTCAATCCGATTCAGAGGGAAATGCAGAAGATACAGTAGAGGGAGAACATGAACAAAACGATGATCTAACGGCAAGTAAAAAGAAATGTGTTGAGGAGGTCCCTTCTAACAGTTAGAATTGTCTCTGGCACAAAGTATCCTACAAACTTGTTAATCTTCTTCTGGAAAGCCAACATCAAAACAGAGGCTTCAAATCAGAGCTTCACATGCGATCTTAATACTGACAGAGACAGAGAATTGACAATAATTTTTGTACGCTTTGTAACATTCAGTAACGGGATATTCTCCACCAGGTGTTGGTCCGAAGTACAAGTACCTCCTCGATGATATTGAAATGTTGAATGTTGCTTCTGGGGTTTTGGTTCAGTCAGAATTATTCCAAATTATATTTTTATATTCATTTTCTTATTTTTACCCTATTTTTCTTACAATTTATTTTATCACCTCACATTTTTTTCTCTCATTTTCTCTTTTCATTGGACGAGAGTATAGTAGAAGAGTTTAATTTTTCAAATATGTCAACTTAAGGTTTGAATTATATATTTGCTCACATAAACAACTGTCTCGCAGGAGAGTGTGATATTATATTAAGATTGTTTTAAAAATCAGAGTCGTCCTTCCTTTTAAATAACTTAATTTTAATTAAATTGAGATAAAATTGGTAAAATTAAAAAATTTGGTTGAATTTTAGGTTAAATAGATTTTAATAAAAAAATAAAATTAAGATCTAAATTTTTTAATATAAATATTTTTATAAAAAATATAATACATTTTATTTTATTTTATATTAATTAGGTTAATTTTAAATAATAATTATTTTATATATGTTTATTTTATTTTAATAATTATTTATTTATATTTTTTAATATATTTTATATTTTTAATATTTATTATAACTTATGTGGAAGTAATTTTTATTATTCTTTTATAAAAAAGTATTTTTATAATAATTTATCATATATTTATTATATTATAATAATATTATTACATTAAATCCGTTGGATTCTCATTAAATTTATAAATTCTAAATTCATATATATTTTTATGACGGATTAAATCTATAAATTTTGAATTCATATATATTTTTATGATGAATTCGATGTTAAAAACATTAAGACATGAATTAATATAAAAAATATAATTTTATTTATAAAAAACTCATTATATATTTATTTATTTTAAAAAAGACAATAATGTTATATATTTTTTTTATTAAATACCTTAATAGCGTCTACTGACAAACTTTTAAAAATAATATAGTTACTTTAATGAAACAAAAATGAAAAATATAAATAAATAATGAAAAAATAAAACGCAACCTATAGATAAATATTTTTTCTTCTTACCATTATTGAAAGAATAATTTAACTCAAATTTATAATTTTTATATTTTTCATGTAGATCTTTAAACTCTATGGATAAATAATTCCAATATTAAAATTGTTAAAAGTAAGTAATGAACATAAATCATGTTAATCTTTTTTACATAATCAAACAATTCTTCCCTTTTAAGTAAATAACCTACATCTTTTACTTAAAATTATTAAATAGTACTTTTGTTTTAAACAACTCATAAACGGCTCGAAAAACTCTAAAAAGAAAAGTAGAAATTAATAAATTTCTTTCATGTAATAAAAATAATTATAATATATGAATATAAGTATAGAAGTTTTTCTAAATGTTCTAACGATGGATTGCATCTTTTCAAAACATTATACATTACAAAGCTGAATGATACAACAGATATAACTATTCTGTCACATCAACATTCCTTCATTAAATATAATTTTAAAACTGTCACAAGAGGTTTTAATCCTCTAAGAATCAAACTTCAACTCTTGATAACTTTTCTGTTTTTGATCAATCATCAAATGCATGTATCTCTTCATTTCATTTACTAACTGCACTACATTCTATATGTAATAAAGGTAAATAACTGATTTTAGAAAATGGTTTTTCACTATTCCATATACATACTTCAATTATTTCCATCGGATTCATGAACACAAAAATTGGTTTAGTTTTACCATTATTTCTTCAAATGTTGTTTTTCTCTCTGTTATTTCAAACATGAGCATCACTATATAATAAAAATCATATCTATCAACTACTCACATATCACACAAACAATTTCTGACAAGATGGATTGGGACAGATTCAGAGACAACAGAACCTTAGCCATTGTGCTGATGGTGTTATTACTAGTATCTTCAGTTTTGTTCTTTCCTTACTTGATGTCTCCAGATCCTCCAGTTTTCTTGCTTATATGGTTATGTTCTATCCCCATTTTCGTCCTCTTCTATTCTTGTTTCCTTACCATTTTCGTCTGGTGAAATCCACATTCATGAGAGGAGGCTGCAGAAGATGGAATAATATTTTTCGTAGGTTGGAAAGAATAATGGCAGAATTTTACTGTTTCAATGGAGAGAAAGAAAGAAATCAGTGAAACCATGAGAAGATCATTTTCTTATGTATGTTTTAATTTTTAATGTTTTTCAATAAATTTAATATTCAACATTTTTGCCTGTGTTGTATAGTTTATATTCTTATTCAATTTTTATTTTAGTTGATGTTCATTTACTAAATCAGGATAATTAGTTGTTACTAGCATAATCATAAAATAATTTTTTTTAAATATACTTATGTAGAATAATATGCAAAAAAGAAATGATAAAAATTGTAAAATAGTGATAGTTGAATAATGATAAGATATTCAATTAAATAAGTTTATTTAGTCAATAAATTATTTATTTACATATCACTACTTTTGAAGAATAGTGTAAATATATATTTACAAATATACTTTTTTTAACAAAATAATAAATTAATAAATATTTTTGTATACATATAAGATTATATATATAACTTTGTGAAAGTTAATAATAATAGAAAATATTGCAAATTATTATTTTTATATAACATGTTTCGATCATAAAGAAAATAAATAAAGAGAATAGATAAGAAGTAATATTCGTATATTATAATTATGTAAGTTATTATTCAACCAATAATTTCTATCAATATCATATTAAACTATAATAATAATAATAATAATAATAATAATAATAATAATAATAATAATAATAAATTATTATTATTATTAAAATATCATAGAATAAATAAATTTAGAATAAAGAAAAATTTACTTGACAATAAATAAAATATATATTTAAAAAATAGATATCTTATGATTAGAAAAACTACCCTTAATTAAAATAAGTGTAAAAAATAACTTTAATAGTTTGGAAAAAGAAGAGAGGAGTTACCTCCAATCTGATTTTGTTGGTATGCATAAGACACAAAGTTTAATATTTCAATATATAATATGGTCATAATCTAATTTAATTATTGTAATTACAAAAATCTTGGTAATTAAAAAATTAAAATAATCGTAAAATTTTTCTATAAATTTTAATAAACATTCTATATAAATCAACATTTATAATAATTATTAAATATAATAAATAATATGTTTATTAATTAAAAAAAAAACAAAAAATTAAGAAGAAGGAGAATCTATGTGAATAAATATATTATATGACATTTTCCATATAAAAATATTTCATTTATAGTATATAATAGATTGATTTCTTTATATAGTCATTGTACATTTGTACCATTTCACTAAAACAGTGTAAATTTATTATACATATTTAAAGATAAAAACAATTATTTAATACTTATTTAATATTGTAAATATTCAATAACTTTTAATTCGATAACTTATTTTCAAAATGTATTATTGAGTTAGAAGTTCCTTAATTACTTATACAAGTTACAAAATAATAATTTTATAATATAATAAATTTATTAATAATAATTTTTTATAAAAAAATAATAAAAATTATTATTATGATTATTATAAATAATAAAAAAATTTATAAATATAAATATATTAAAATATATAAAATAAATAATTTTAAAATAAAATAAAAATAATAAAATATTTATTATTTAAATTTGATTAATAAATACGAAAGATAGAAAAAAAAATACTAAAATATATTATAACTTTTATAAAAAAAATTATAAATTTAATAATTTTTTCGATTTTATCAATTTTGTATCTATTTAATAAAGATATATAAAATATCAAATAGTTTTAAAAATCATGTTGATCACTCCATGTACCATACAAATTCTTCCAATCTATGGACTTGACACTTAAATGCAGATTGAATATATTTGATCGTTAAGTATAACTCTTATTTTTTTGTTGCATTGATTTGAGGTTAAGAATGTTTGCAGATGACTACTAATCAGGCTCATTTTTTGCAGACAGAAAAATCACGTATGGAAAATTAAAAAAAAAATACCTTTTTCATTTTTCTTTCTTATCGTAGTTACTCTTCCATATCAATATATAGTTTAGCAAGTATTCAAATATTGAAACAAGATTTTAATGAACTTTAAAAATTAGGCAGTTAGATAAATTTCCACTCTTAGTAAATTTTTATTTATTACTTTTCTATTTTTAGGAAATATATAGTTGGTCGTATATGTAATTTTTAAGACATTGAACGAAACACAAATTTTTATTTTGTCAATTGTCAATGAATGAAAATTTTTAATGATCCATACAACACAATATTAATCATTAATTTCTTTGATTTTAAATTCAGTTAAATTGCTCTAAAAATTATAAATATTTTTGTACATTGCCACTCAATCGCATATTTTTGTGTCTAGTTAAATTTATTGAGTTTAGTAATAGATTAAATTTTTATAATATTCTACACTGTATCTAATCATAAATTATTATTATTATTATTATTATTATTATTATTATTATAAGTTTCTTATTTTTTATAAATATTTATAGTCATAAAAATAATATTGTTTGATAGATTGATGATATGCTGAAAAACATTAGACACTATATATACCAATTAAATTCTTAAAACATTACCTTAGATGGAAATATTTTTAATAGATTTTTTTTATAATATAAACTAAAAATAAGTATTTTTTTTAATTTTTTTATTTTAGATTTTGGATAAATAATTTATATCATGGGTATAATGTTATTGGTAATATTATTAAATATTTATTTTAAATATATTATTAAAATTTAATTTAAAACTAGTGATAGAAAACCAAATTAAAAGAGACAAGAAATTTAAAAACAATTTCAAAAACCATTTTTATTGACCTAAATCACTTTCTTTATAAAATAACTTCTAAATTGAAAGATATACATGAAAGAAGATAAAAAGTATTAAATTTACATGACAACGCTTAAAATTTAAACTTAATTTCTTTTCCAAGTACTAAATATTTTCCATTTTATTCATCAGCTAGATACGGAATTATTAATTACCCTTTTAATGTTGGTACAAATCCATTTGTGAAAATGCACGATATGAACGAAAGTTGAGGCTGTTCCAGTTGTATCCCTTGATCGCCAATACCAAACGTTGCCATTGCCAACCGCTGTTATCATCTCATCTTTTCACCATTTACCACCAACAAACCTCACCTTTCAAACACTATATATAGGCCATACCACACAGACTGCATACACCACCATTGCTTCTTCCTTTTCATTTCACCAACCTTCGTTGAGAACATAGGCTGCAGAGTTTCACTTCTTTTTTAGAAGAAAAATGAGGCAACCTGAAGTATGGGGTCATGGTTCCGTTGTGATATTTATGATCATTGTAGCCATTCTTCTGTTTGGTCCATTTGTCATGGGTGCTCCTACGCCACCAGGACTTCCTTTGCTCATGGTGTTCCCTGTGGTTATTGCAGCCATTTTGACCTTTCTTATTGTATTTTCCAACTGAGTACTGCTACATGATGCTGATTCATCCATGATCCATGGTCACCCCTCATGTATCAGTTAGGTTATGTTTTGTTGAATAATATTATTATTAGTCCTTGATTTTGTATTGTTGTTTTATTATGATTAGAATGGTTGCAAAAGCCATTGTATGTGTGGTATTTTATTATAGATTGAAGCATATTTCCTTGTTCAATAGTCTTCAGTCCAATCATATACAATCTCTTTTCTGTCAATTTAGTACACTTTCGTTTCGTTAGTTTTTCTTTAGGTTGCAATCATTCAACGTGTAGTTCCATGAGAGGAACCAAGCCCTAGAGTGATTTCCATCCCCGCTTTGAATTCGATCATTTTTAGTCCCATTTTGATTAATTAATTAATTAATCTTATTAGGTATAAGATGTATGAATAACAGATAAGAATGAGAATGTTCCATGAAGAAAAATGAGGGATATGGAAATAGAAAAATTATGATTTGTTATTTTTCTTTTGCTATCGTATCTTCATTACGAGTAGGAAAAAGAGAACCAAAGATGTATGGGTTGGTCTTCTGCATTTGACAAAACTCTCTCAGATACCAGAACAGCACCAATGCTAAGGGGGAAATTTCAGAGGGGCATTTCAGAATGTTAATATTGAGTTGTCCGTGGAAGCACGAGTGTATAATCATTCGTGTGTGTATATATGTTCGTTGAAATGAAGAAAGGGTAAGAAGATTTTCCAGTGTGGATGTAGAAAGCTTTTCCGTTGAATATAATTTTTCTGTTGGTTAATTATATTTTTGTTTAAAATTTCAACACATAAATGATTCTGCTGTTATTTCAGTAAACTACATTCAGATCAAGTTGTTTAATTGATCACAGTTTATTTCAGTTAATTGGTGTTTGTTAAAAAATTTGTTAGTCTAGTCACTTTAACACGTTGAATATCACACCTTTTTCCCGATATCACTGTGAGTATATATTTGATTGCTGCTAATCATACATCTCTCCAAATTCAGAAATGATATTACTGTTTTAAAAAATTATGTTTTTGACAACCTCTGCTATAAATACATTTATCCAACTAAATTATATATTAATACAAGTTTAAATTTTTATATTTATTATTTGTTTTATTATTAAATAGAAGTTTTATGATATATATTTGAAAGTTTTGGATGTTTGAATTTCATAACTCAAGATTTTTTTGTGTGTTAGACACCTTCTTTGTTGGTATGATTAATAATAATAATAATAATAATAATAATAATAATAATAAATAAATAAATATTTTATTATTATTTTAATATTAAAATAAAGGGTACCGATATATTGACACAGAACAAAAAGAAATCTGGTATAACCCAATTTATTAATATAATAAATATAAAAGTATTTTATAAAAAATAAAAATAATTTTAAATAATTATTATATTATTAAAAACGAATGTAGAACCAGTTGTTTAAGATGAAGGGTTGGGAAAATAGTTTTTTCTTAAAATAAATTGTTGGGATGTCAAAATGACATACAACACCAAAAAAAATAGGGAGTACCAAGTGGTTGAAACCAAATTTCCCAGCATCCAGCTCTGAGGATCTAGAGAGAAATAGTTCACTTTTAAATATTTCAATTTAATAAAACCTGTATAGTTTAACTTCCTATTTTGATTTTCAGAAAATGAAATTAAAAATGTGTTACGGTTAATCATATACAGTGAAATATCATCACTCTTTCTTGAAAAGAAAAATAATATTTTGACACCTTCAAATTAAAAAACAATTAATAAACAACTTAATATTATATTAATATAATAATAGATTTTATTATTATATTAATATAATAATAGATTTTTATTATTATATTAAGTTATTTATTAGATGTTTTTTTATCTTAAAGGTGTTCTTGAAAAGTTTAGACCCTGCAATCATACATGATTATGCACAACTGTAAGCACCAGTGTTTGCCCGTGGATATATCAATCAAAGTGTTACAAATATGGAATTTTTCTTGAAACCCATCACGATTCGTGAATCCATGGTCACTTCTACCAAACTCCATTGCCACTAAATCAACAAAACCTGTAAGAAATCAACAACTTCTCTCTCCATCACAGTCACTTCATTTGGCTACAAACATTCCCTCTCCATCTCCAAGAAGAAATCAACAACTTCCCGTGTCTTTCCAGTATCGTCTTAGTATTTAAATATATAACCTTCAAAACTTTAATGGTTAGAAATTTTGAAAGTTGTATACTATGAGTTTGTTTAACACAAAAATTAAGAATATTCACAAGTTATACGGTAAGAATATGAACATCCTCCAAGGTGGGTGTTCTGCTATTTAGATCAAAAGTTGACCTTATTTCTGAGGTACTAGAATACTCATCCCAAGGCCAAGACTGATAATCTTCACTTCGAACAAGTTCATTATGTCTTTCTTCTGCATTAGACTTTCCTTCCAATCTTCGGATACCTTCTAATTCTAATGTAACTTCCTTCATTGTTGGTCGTCTCTTTCCATTCAACTCTAAACATCTACTTGCAAGATTGGCAACTTCCATGATATCATCTTTCTGCCCTTCCTTCATCACTCTTTCATCAATAATATCAAACACACGATTTTCCTCCATACAAATAATGAAATGTGAGGCTAAACTTTTGGCCTCCTCTGGACATAGGAGGGATATTGGCTTTTGCCCCGTTAAGAGTTCAACAAGAACTACTCCAAAGCTGTAGACATCACTTTTTTCTGTGAATTGACTAGTTTGAAAAAATTCAGGGTCCAAGTATCCAAATGTTCCTTGAACTACTGTAGTGAGATGAGTAACATCAATGGAAATCATTCTGGATGTGCCAAAGTCTGCTACTTTTGCCCTATACTTTTCATCCAATAGTATATTTGTTGACTTTATGTCTTTATGATAAATAGGCTGAGAAGCAGCAGAGTGCAAGTAAAATAAAGCTCCTGCAACTTCAGTGGCAATTCTCAAACGCATGTCCCATGTCATTGGCAAATCCTCATTTTGTTCATGCAAGTACTCGAAAAGGTTACCATTAGGAATGAATTCATACACAAGCAAAGGAATTTCAGTCTCCAAACAACTTCCTAACAACTTGACCACGTTTCTGTGATTAATTTGTGAGAGGATGACAAATTCATTGATGAATTCTTCAATCTTTCCCTGGACCTTAAATTTTTTCACTGCAATGATTGTTCCATCTATCAACATGCCTTTGTAAACAGTAGCTTGACCTCCTTTTCCAAGTACTCTATTCGTATTGAAATTGTCGGTGGCCTTCTCCAATTCCTTTAAGCTGAAGAGTTTAACTTTATCCACATTAACTTCTCCAGAAGACAATCTTTGTTCTAGCAATAGTCCTCCATTTCGTTTGAAGATTTTTTCTCTGTATTTCTTCACTACGATTTTTTTTGTAACCTTAAACACCCGCCATAAAACAAGGAGTAAAACGACGGACCCAAAGCTTATAGAAACTCCTACATATTTGACACAAATACATAAAAATAAGTCTTGTGAGCAGGTTCCATTTCATCCCCATTAAAACACCTAACAGTTAAAGTTAAACTAACACAAACATTAGAAAGCCTTACAGTAATTTTCCTAAAAATTTAATTAAATATAATTAATTATTTCTAGTGTATTTCTTTTTCTGATAAAAACTCTACAAAATGAACATTCAAACATAAACAAGAATTTGTTGCATCTCATACATTTATGTTGAATCTTGTTTTTAAATGTGTTTCCAGATAATGAAACGGAGAAACAAACTTTCTATACATAATTCATACGTACCTTTTATGATCGATTTTGTTCGATTCGTCCTTTCGATGTACCAATGGTGAGAACCAGAATATGAATCAGAATTAGAATAGGCATTAGGACGAAGATTAGCTGAAATGTCAAGAAAAATGTTTGATAATGTTAGTAAGTAACACTGTCTAATAAACAAATTATGTTTAGCATTAAAAGAAAAACATGAACAGCTTCAAAAAATGCATTCATATCAAACACTAAAAACAATTGTCACCCTAACTTAAACTTAATAATCCTAAACCGTAAAAGACGAAAGTTTTGATTTTCGTACTTAGTTTTATTTTATTATTTTATTTGGATTTTATAATTTTCTTTTGATTCTAGGATTAATTTTCATGACGTGATCATGTATCATATAATTTTTTTTATCATACTTCTTTCGGTTATTTTCTCTAAAGATAAAATCATAATAAAATTTAAAAAAAATAAATAATTAGTCATATTAGACATGACCTAGAACTTATCTTCATATGCCACTTTTTATAATATTTTCAAGTCCAAATTTTATTTTAATTTAGCTAAATTTTCAATTTCATTTATATAATTTATCTATACAAAAATGACTCGTAATAAAAATAAAATAAAAAGAAGAAGAATAAAATCAATTAAATACAAAATCTTTTTTAGAAATGTCAATACCGTAATTTATTATAACAATATTATATTAAAGGAACTTAAACAAGTCGAAACAATGCTCTCTATTCCATTTTTAAGAGATCATATTTTTTTTTTGGAAAAAAATTATTTTAATACAATTATTTTAAAAGATAATCATTATTATTTGTAAAGATTTTTTCTTCTTAAATTTGATATTGCCCACAATTATGTCAGTCAATAGATTGTAATTAAAATTATTAATAAATAATAATTTTTTATTATTATTAGGAATGTAGTTGGTAGTTAGTAGTAAAAAATTGAGTTATAATTATAAAACGATTTAATAAATATAAAAATAATTTAAAATTATTATTATAATATTAAAAGTGGGTTATCATTGAAAATTATATGTTTTGAGAATAAAATTATATATTTACCAGGTTGACTACAACCTCCAGCAACGTAGGGATTGGAACCGTAAGCATCTACTTCGCAGGAGCATCTCCGGCCTGAGCGTTTATATCGCGAAGATGTAACATTCGTGTCATAACAGTGAGAGTGATGACCTGCAGGGAGTTTAAGGTCCAAATTGTTCAGAATCTCCCATTCAAGCACCGCTGGGACCATATCTAGATCCTTCACCGCACCATGAGTAAGAGAGTAGTAGCTTTTCAGGGGATCACCAGTATAGTCTTGGTAGCTGTTCCTATCTTGTTTTACAACCATGGCGTAACTGCACTCATGATGACCCGTTCCATTCTCCTTTAAACCTTTTATTTCTGTGGTATACTCGTTAAGATACAGTGGCAAGGAAGTCTCACAGCAGTACTTGCCATTACAATCAGTGTTTAAGAGCTCCATTTTCCCGATATCATCGACGTTGTCGTGGTCGTCGCAGATGGAAACACAACCACTAGCTTCTGACCCATTTGACTGCAAAAAAGCAATAATATTGCAACCTACGACCACAAATTTGTTGTATCCCTGAGAATACACGAAGGGGCTTCCTTCGAGCGACTGGTTGAGCGGCTGAGAATCTTTGATTCTGCAGTTACTTCGGTAAACAGGATGGTTGATAGTAACCGTGCCTTCCTCAACATCAATGGATGTGACTTCCACACCTATTGACTTGAGGTAAGGTGCGTGATTGTAGTTGCGATATCTGGAAGTGTTTCTGCATTCTATTTCAAACCACTTTCCTGCATAGCATTCCGAACCCTTCATTCCAAAGGGATAGGGAATTGGAAGATATCCACATCGCGAATCACAGCCAGGCTTTGCTATAGGTCGGTGATGTTGTGCAGATACGTTTACATGTATGGGGCATGTTACCAAAATGATGACATGGATTAAGAATTTCAGAATCATTGTGGTTGGCGTAAGATTCAAGAGGTGTGTGTGTGCATCATATGGTTCCAACTTCATACGTCCATGATGGATATGCATACTACCTAAAGCAAATTTCTTGGTTTCTTCTTTATGACCCACTACCTTTCATACTCAGAGTGACCGGAACGCTTGTGCCCACTGTATAACGCCCTTTAATAAGAGTGCTGATTAATAAAAACTGAACTGTGGGGCTGTAATAAATGATGCGATAATAATTGTACTCTTGTGTGGCTCTCAAGTGACCAACCTTCCAAGGGAGGTCTCCGCTATCTTTTTTCTTAAATTATTGTCCCTTCCAGGAAAAAGAGTGAGAGCCACCTCATTTGACTTTTGCCCACGCTTGGACGAGTCCTCGTGATAACTGGTGCTTACGGATTCCAATTAAACTCGTTACCGTGTAGAGTGACTCGTGTATTAAACTCATTCCGTGGAGAGTGACCCGTCTCATTTGACGGAAAAAAATCGAGTAGATAAGGTGCGGTGAGTTCGGTTTTTATCCATTTTAAAAATTGAGTAAAGGTAACGGGAATAAATAATGCAATTCTAACCCTTCCACGTTCTCGCCTTATTTTTATGTGTATTAAACTCGTTCCGTGGAGAGTTACCCGTCTCATTTGACTGGTGCGGTGAGTTCGGTTTTTATCCATTTTAAAAATTCAGTAAAGTTAACGGGAATAAATAATGCATTTTTAACCCTTCATACGTTGTCGCCTCATTTTTATATTTAAATTTAAATTTTAAAATATTAATATTTTATAAGTATTTTTTTATATTTTATTAATTTTTTTTACTTATTTTTTAATTTTTGTTTTTTTTAATCTTTTATATTAATTAATTTATTATATAATTCTTTTTTTTACATTTCAGTTTTTCACATTTTCTTAATCTCTTTCATCAATTTTTTATTCAATCTTTTCAGCCAATTTGATTAACACAAAATTATTTTTTTTATTTTTTATCTTTTTCTAAATATTTTACATAAATCTTAATAGTAATTAATATTATTTTATTTATAATTTATATTTATTAGGTTTTATTATGTCATATTTTTTTATCTTATTATTCTTATTTATCATAAATCAAATTTTATCTTAATAAAATAATTATATTTTAAAAGATTAAAAGAATTAATAATTTAACCTTTTATTATTTCAAACTAATTGAACAAGAATTAACTTATTAAATATTTTTTTATAAACTATATATTTCATATTTTTAAATGACAACTTAAAAATGAATTAACTTATATATATAATAAAATGTTTGAATACGATATTATAATAATAATGTTATAAGTATTCAAATATTTGAATACAATGTTATAATAATATTATTATAATAATAATAATGTTATAAATAAAAAATGATTAAATATTTCTTTTACATATAAATTTTAATATAAATAAAATAAATTAAAACGTATATTTAATTAACAATAATTATAAATTATAAATATTTACTTATATATAAAAATAGATAGTAAAATTAATTTATTATAAATATAATTACCTTTTTAAAAATAATATAGATAGAGAACGAGATGAAAGCAAAGAACCCGAAATCCAAGTAGAGATGGAGATGAAAACTTAATTTCTAATCTTGGTGAGGATCGGATACTGAAACGGAGATAATTAAAAGAGTCGAAAACGAGAATCATGAGAGGAAAATCCCGCCCCGCCCCACCCCATCCCACCCCACCCCACCCCACCCCACCCCACCCCATCCCATCGGTTGTGATGCTTACTGCTTAAATCTCACCTCGAGAATAAACGATTCAATAGATAAGTTATATGTCAAATTAATTGGAGACTACATAGTTTCGTGCTTTTTAGTATAAATAGTCGAGACTTCATATATCCGGGTTTTCTTATACCGATTATTACAAATATCGCCCGATGAATAAGGATAAGAGTTAAACTTGTATATGTGGATATCCTCACGCCTCAAATTTTCATAGAAAAAATAAATCGAGTTAATTGGAAGTTTGGATTTTTTTCCCTTTCAAAAGTTGGGACTGGGGACGGGATAGGTAATACAATCCTTATCTCGTTTTTATCTTTATCTCGATTTTATATTTAAATTTAAATTTTAAAATATTAATATTTTAAAAATATTTTCTTTTTTATTATATATAAGATCATTTTTTTATATTTCATCATTTTTATTTTTTTCTGCCAGTTTTTAATTATTTTATCTTTTTTAATCTTTTATATCAATTAGTTTATTATATTATTTTCTTTCTCTTATTTTTCGAGTTTTTCACATTTCTTTGATCTATCTAATCAATTTTTTTCGATCTTTTTAACCAATTTGATGAATACAAAATTAATTTTTTTCTTTATCTTTTCTAAATATTTTACATAAATTTTAGTAGTAAATAATATTATTTTATTTATATATTATATTTATTAGGTTTTATTATGTCATATTTCTTGGATCTTATTATTCTTATTTGTCATATATCAAATTTTATTTTAATAATATAATTATATTTTAAAGAATTAAAAAGAATTAATAATTTAAACTTTTATTACTTTGAACTAATTAAATAAGAATTAACTTATTAAATATTTTTTTATAAACTGTATATTTCATATTTTTAAATGACAACTTAAAAAGGAATTTACTTATATACGTAATCAAATATTTGAATTCAAGTATTATTATAATAGTAATAATGTTATAAGTATTATATATCTATATAAAGAAAAAAATGATTAAATTTTTTTTACATACATATTTTAATATAAATATAATAAATTAAAATACATATTTAATTAATGATAAATACAAATTGTAAAATTATAAATATTTATTTATGTATAAAAATAGTAAAATTAATTTATTATAAATATAATTATTTTTTTAAAAATAATATAGATCGAAAACGAAGCGGGCCGAAGAAACCCGAAACCCAACCTGGATGAGGACTTAATTTCTAACCCCGACGAGGATCGAAGTGGGGACGAGGACGGTTAAAAAAGTTAGGACGAGGATCGAGGAGGCAAAACCCGCCCCCACCTCGCCTTGCCCCGCCCCGTTGCCATGCCTACCAATAAGTGACCCCAATCATCACCTCATTGTAGCAGGTACTCTCTCACCACTATTCGAGACTGTCGAAACATCCCATCTAGTCACTTCAACCACGTGCCACACACACGTGTAACGTGTTTTTCTTCTTAATATCCTTCATCTCCCTTGTATTTCTTATTTCTTCTTTCATTGCCTCCCTCATGCTTCATTTCATCTCTACTTTCTCGCTTTTGTTATCGATTTTCCTCCTCAATTGCTTTCTTGCTTTCTCGTGTAAGCTCATTGTCTAGGTGTGTTAGTCCATCTCAGTTGCTCCTGGTTTTGATTTTTTAGTTGTTTGTGTTGCATTGTTCTGTGAATGGTTGATAAATCCTTAAAAAGAAATGAGTGATGTCGTTTTGTACCCATGGGCTAAAACGAAATTCTTCATGAAACCTCTGGTTATACTATTGTAAAACTACTGAGACATTTAAGGCATAACCTGTTGGAAAAATTTGGGTCATGTATATATATGATACATAATTTAAATGTGTTAGAGTCATTATTTATTAAGCCAAATAATAAAGTGATCTAACTAAATTAAAGTTTTGGCTAAAGGCATATGTCATGAAAATAAAATTGTGTAGAGACCATAGAGCAATTTCTAATTTGATGAGGGGCCAAATTGGAAATACTAAAACTTAAGTAATTAACCTAATTCTGGTTATCTAAAGGGTCATGGTCCCCTTCGAGAGCACACACACGAACGTAAGTATCAGTCCCGTTCCTTTCTTTCTATCCCCATCAAGAGAGAAAATCAAGAGGGAAATACAGGTGCTCTTCAGGTGGAAGACCATAAGATCAATATAGTGCTCTACAAAGACATCATCGTTATGGCTAATTCAGGTACGCTTTCGCATTTAGTTTACAGCATGTTTATCAGTATGGGATTATGTTTATGTTTGATCGTTAGAATCAAAATCAGGATTATTATTATTATTATTATTATTGTTTTTCCAACAATTGGTATCAGAGCCGCCCATATTTGATTCATGTCTGTTTAATTTATAGAACCCTAATTATGAAAATTAGGATTAATTTTGTTTTAAACAATTCAGATTACCCAATTTTATGAACCCTAAGTGGAGGATAATCTCTAATTTTTGTGAACCCTAAAATTTAAATTTGGGGGTAACATCCCCAATCTGATTCGCTTGCTAATGGAACCAGTGGAGGAAACTATGGATTCTTCTTCTTCTTCGTTTTTCACTTTTGTTTCAGTTTAAGTTTCAAGTTTTACTGAGAAAGAAATAGTGTTTCATATTTCAATTTTTCTTGTATTGGGTTCTCTGTTCTTTTTTTAATCTTTTGTTTTTATTTAACTTTATGGGTTTGGAATTGGGGGTGGTGTTTGTGGAGTTCCCAACACAGAGAATCTTAGGTAAATGATGAATGTTTCCACATGTTTGGCTGTTATTATTTTATTGCCTCTATCCCCTAGGAATTTAAGGAAAATTTGATGTTAAATTAGGGTCCGAGTGATTACTCGTTTAATTCCCTTTTAGGGTTTAGAGCAGTATGCTAAAGAGACTCGGAACTATCTCTGTTTCATCCCTAGTGTGATTTTAGGAAGATGTTCATCCTTTTATGTATTGGTGGAAAATGAGGCCTTTTTTCATCCTTTGATTTGTTCAAATGAGGTGTTCATCCCTAATGAGATTCTAGGGAGGTGTTCATCCTTAGTAGAATTATAATGAGGTGATTCTCTTTTGAATTAGTTTGCAAATATTAAATATTTGGTTTTGTTATATAAATAAAATATTCAATTTTTGGTAGTTTAATATTTTTTGTGAGCAAATTGAGTCAAGAAGTCACCAAAGTAACTTCTCTTGAATTGGGCAGTTCATAAAAAATATTGAATGTTAGTGTTTGTGTATATTCATGCGAGTATTAGTCGGCCCAAAGGA